CTGTTGGTAGGTCCTTCTGGGAGCAAAACGACCTGCTGAATTCGATTAAATCCAATGTTTATCTAGTCGAGCCGGACAGCTTGCAAAAAACAGCTCTGAAAGCTGGGAGCATAAAAATAATGAAAACAAGTCGTTCAACTGACAGTACGGCCTTAACTCGGTCCCATTAAACCACGAAGAAGTCCTCAACATCTGCATAATTGTGCGGTTCCAGTGGCTTTCTAGCCAAGTCATCTCGATACTCTTGAGCTACTCAAACCCGTCAAATTTGATGCATGGGGTTTCTCTGCTTTGACAAGCATAATGCTAAAGGAAAGTGAAGTGATAGCCGGGACCACACAATAGCATGAGTCAAGCTACGCATACAAGGAAAGGCAATCTTTAATAGAGGTTCTGCAGCGGTCCAGTTGAGTCCATGACTGTTCTGAGGTTGGTGCATTCCAAGTAACTAGTGTCTGTGCTGGAAGCTTGTACTGACCAGGAACAGACGATAACCACACGAATGAAGCAGTCGCCCTCCATTATCTGTACTCTGAGCATCGACTCCAAATCTACTACCTAATTGTGCTTCTTCCGGAATTAGTCGTCAGGCTTCGGCAGTAATATCAAACCCCAGGATTACATAGCCATCCTTCCTGTTGATCTAAGCAATCGCGACAGATCCCGATAAGACCCGTCTTCCTCAGACTCACAACTGCAGTCTATCTGCTGACACGACAAATAACCACTGTTTACCACATCGACCTGTGTTGATCTTAGTTGAGCTATACAACTGCACAGTGCGGAGACGACTGTTTACTGGGAAACAGCCCAGTAAAGTGTTTTCAGCCTTGAGGTTGAGTGCAACCCCACATGGTATATACCGTGAGCCGTTGCGTCAGGATCACTGGATACCCGAAGAGTGAAGTGTGGAACATTTTAGCTCGTCTTAAGCGGCTTGAGGTGAACGACCGAGTTGGGGTCTTATTTGCGTAGTTCAGAGACAACATATATCGATAGAGAGCGAAAGCAAGAGGTACCTCTTGTCCAGCTTGACACGGCGTAAGGACATTACATGCTGCAATGTGGGTCATATCTTTTGAGGTTGGTAACGAATTACTTCAATTATTTTTCTGAGTGACGGTGACACAAGACAATGTTTAGGGTACCGTCAGATGGGATGATTACACTGCATTGTTCGAGGGATGATGAGGGGGTGTGGGGATAGGCCGCAAAGGCGAATGATATTTCCCGGTTGCCCAAGCCGAAGAAGAGGATTGGATTGAGCCTTTGACTCAAAAGTCCGACACACAGGGCAGTGGGAGAATGCAGGTTTTTGTTCGAGGACCCTGCTCCTAGCCTATAACCCAAAAGTGAGGCAGCGGTTGTTAAGGTTTTCCTGGAGGACCCAGCTCGGAGCCAATGACTCACTCGTTTGACCCACTTGGCCGTAGGGGGAGGGCTTGGCCTGAAGACGCAGGTATTGCTGTCTCAGTCCTAATACAGCCGCAAACAGTAGGTGTCTTTTGACACCGGACTCTTTGGTTTTAGTGTGTCGAAGGTCACAGTCGACCGTTAGGTGGTCGGAGTGTACGGATTTTAGGGTCGGCCTTACCTAACAAGTCCTTACTCGGGGGATGGCAGCGCCGCTGCCTCCATAAATATGGACATGCTGATTAACTGGGAGGAAACGTCTTACTGCTCTCCCACTCCTATCGCAGAAGACAATACGACTTTTCCTCGAGGCCGCCTCGTAATGCGATTTTTCTCGGTCAAAAGTTGCTCACACAGATGTATTCTTAGCTCAAGAAGCAGTGTTGACTCAGTCTATCGCACTACTATGCAGCGGTCACCTCTCCAAAGATGTTCCGAACATTTTTATCACTTTCGTTGATCTTTGTACTCCAACATTCGTTCGCTATTCTACCAAATGTTATGTTTCATTTCCAACTTCGTGATCAAAATACTCATCGACAAAACGCTCACTGTGGTCTCCAGTTACTGTGTGAAAATCTTCATCAAAGAAGACCTTAAAGACTCAGAATACGCAGAGAATATCGCACCATTTGGTTCAGATCCCAACGAGATAAGGAATGTAATAAACAAATTATACTAGCGTAACGGTGGATACTGTTAATGAGGCGCGCGAGTAGTATGTGGTTTCTCGTAACTCCGTCTTGATCTAACGGAGGGTGAGATTTATTACGGCATTTGTGGAGTCGCTTCGTAGCATTCGTTTAGATTTGTGTGATACTCAATGAATATCCAAGAAAGTTCAAGAAGAGATATTCAGTTTTTTAAAACAAGGTGCATATGAGAGTCTTGCTTTCCTGTCCAGTAGTCTGTAACTGTTCAGTTGGTGTTTTCTAATGAACAACTCCGAAACGATAGGCTTCTTCCTTTCACTGGTATGAAGGCTGGTATGTGCTTTACACCATCAGAGTGCACGGTCACATAGCAAGACTATGCAATTACAACCAAAGTTGTTCTCATCAGAACGACGGGAGATAATGAACAGGGTTGCCTGAGTAGTGGAACACGTGGGATGGCAGCTCTATTATGAGGTGAATAGCAAGGCCCATTTTATCTTTCTTCGACTCAGGTGCCTCTGTAGTCGAAGAGATATTAGGCTCTCGGCGGGTCTAAAATGCGGTAGCATGTGCTGTTTTGTTTTGCACTGTTAAAACCTGGCCATCGTGGGCTAAAGACAAAAGAAGATTGCCCGTTTCCGAAGAATATATCATGAGAACATCGGAGTCGCATTGCTGAAGTGCGACGAATTGTTGTGACAACAAAGTAACTGCATTTCCCAATTCTAGGTAAATCTGCATGCACTAACTCGCTGGCTGGGCTGTGTACTCCATATGTCAGGTGGCCGATTGCCTCATCCTGCCCCGGTTGCTAATGTAGCTTGTGACCGGCAGAAGCCTCAAGGTGATCAACACATAACTTTGAAGCAAAAGAGGAAAACAACAAAGGGATTTAGTTGCACAAATAATAATGACCACTAAGCCGTGGCTATCGCATGACTCGAATAGGTGCGGTGGCCAGGTGCCAGGTCACCAAAGGCTGCAAGAGAGGTCAAAAAAGGGTTAGATTAGAACCACTGGCTTCCCGGTCAGAAATTTTAAGCTCTAACTATATAGGTTGGCTTTCACCGTAGCGTTAGCTCCAACAGTACAATAAGCCTCCATTTTTGAGAACTTACTGAAAGTCGGCGATGTCCCGTACACCAGAGTGGCCGCTGACAAGTAGGCTTCCGCAAAGAGAGGTGAAGTGTGATGGAGATTAAGAAGTGGATGTTCCAAAGAATCTCCATCTGTCAAGTAACCGCCCACAGAATGGGATGTGCAAGGCAAACCAGGAATGCTCAACATGTCGGAAGTTATACCAGTTACGAAAAATACCACTGGCTGATAAAGTGGTGCAGGAGGCGCGGTAGATGCGTACAGGTGAGCAACACGTACCTGTTGAGACGGGAAGGCCATCAAAACACACTGATAGGAAAGAGTTATGACAATCATCAACATGAGTGAAAACTGTTTTGTAAAGACATATCATATACGCAATAGAGCTAAGCTCAGCCAAGCCTGCTGAGAGCAATGATTCTATGGCCATGCTAAGCAAGACATCCAACCCAGTCTATTATAAACCCACAAGGTACAGGGATTACCTAGCAATCTTAAGAATACCTCGACCAGGTGTGGTGTTCACAAATCAACGCTCATCATCATCGTCATCAGCTGTAGGAACCGCGCACTTATCGTACAGTCATTATAACTGCCACAGTTTCGTTCACTGATGATTTGGAGAGGTGGCGAAGGTAGCTACGCATTGGGGGCGGAAGCTGACATAACTGATACGTAAATTTTGTTCATATTCACACCACTCCCGTTTGAACGGTCGTCCTCCTGTAATAATTATTCTGGTGAGTCCACACATCAAAGGTAAGCATTGGACTCGAGTTTCGCTCATATTAGAGCTCACTAGCAGTGCATATCCAATGACCGTGCCGGGATTTGAACCCCGGACATCTGACGCGACGGCCGAGCGTGCTACTACTAATCTACCAACGCACTTTGGTCGCATCCGATTTTTCACTTCTGAACACAAGAACATGTTCACGCTTGAGTGATGTGACTTGTGTGCCTAACCCATCGAATGATGACCCAGTAACTGTCCTGGTTGTGACAATCGATCAACCCACCAGTCGGGCTTTCTCAGTCAGGTAGCGTCACAGACGCTTGAACCCCACTGGGCAACATTTTTGGTTTTAGTTGGGGTTTAAGTAAATACAGTATTGTCAGTGGACTCCTAAGTGAAAAGCTATACACTGAAGGCAATAGCTTGGATGTACGAGCGCTATTGAGGCCGCGACTGGGCCATGTCTGACAGTATCTCTAACCATTGATGTGTCACGTTTCGGGGTCCCCATCCAGAGAGACGGTGGTAACAGCGACACAATAGAAAGAGGACTACACAGTGAAGAATCAGTTGAATCAAGCTTCGCGTGAACCAACGTCTGAAATTTCAGAACAAGTGCCGAGTTACTGTGACTTGGATTCCCTTTGAATGAGGTCTAAGCGATCTCCGGCTTCACACAAATACATTCGGTGTCCTAGATACAAACAGTGAGTCGGTCTTTCTGAGAGTGGCATTTCCATGGATTCCATCATAGACTTCCGCATTAAAACAGTTATGCCGAAACTCTGCCACGCCACTAAATACCAGATAAACTAACTGGAAAGATGGCAACTCCAGCTTCGATCATTCGCAGTGTCACGGGAAAAATGATAAGTCGCGTGGACAAACCAACCCCATAAATATCCCAAACTGCGACAATCCAGAGAACAGACTTTGTGAAATATTTCACGAGGTTTCGTGGAGGACTCCGAAACTATAAACCTCTTCCGGTCCGGACATACCAGAATAAAGCCTATTAGGTGACCCAAAGATACGAACTGCAACTAAACGGGACGGCCGTCGAGATGATTCACTCCACCAGGTACGTCTGAATGGACGTCCGGAAGGATTAGTAGAACATTGTATTAGCCGTTTGTAGAATATGTATAGGTGCTTCGTGCGGAAACTTAGATACTGACCATAACCGATATACAGTGTCCACGTAACTAGATTGGTTCCACCAAATTATGAAGTATATCCTCATCATTGGCGGCAAATTTTATTTCTTTTCCGGTCAGTAAATTAGCATCCCAACCATTCGGGCCAACTCGCTCCCATAAACTAGGAGCTGCCTCAACAATTCAGCCTCGGTGAATTTCGTTTCTGATACCATGAGTGACGCAAGTTCGCGCCTTGATAATGCGTCCATCGACTTACTCTGTCATGATAGAGTTACGGTTAATGGAGCTGACCGGGTAAGTAAATTGGTCAACAAACTCAAGTTTCTCTCGCCGAGGTTTCACAGGAACGTTGGAACTGAAAATTACATGGCTTTAGTGTGCACAACTAAAGAGTAGGCAATCGCCTAACGAGACAATGCCGCCTGGAATCACTTCTGCTAGTATTTCTCAAGTTTTAGTTTCGATACCAAGAGCCTCGACCCCTTGAATTATGCATTCCACGGTGAAACCGATGAACAAGCTAAACATAGAAAGAGGGGACGGCTTCTCCGCACCGTAGTAAAACCTCTGGACAGTTCGATATGAAATCCTTCACGTGGGGATAGAGGACATGGCCCACAAACAAGCGACAAAAGCATTCATTTTTGGCCAACACAGAAAATGACCAATCCAGAGTCAAGCCTCCAATGAAGTCGAGGAACACCACAGTTGTTGGCCGGATTTAAGTACGGCACTGCTCAGTGAGGCCGGGATTTGACAAATCTACCACATACCTGGAAATCGCGCTTGGCCTCGGAGTTGCGTCTCACGTGCCGAGATCAGGAGTCCCAGAAAGCTATTCAACCGTTAAACGGAGATTTTGTTCCTTAGGTTTATCCAACAAATTAAGCGGAAATCTACGCCGAAAGGGAGCATGTTCCGATTCGAAGCGTGTGTTCCAGGATGATCGGCAGTCGCGTATTGAGTCCATTTGAGCATTGATCACATGGCTAAAAATTACATGGCTAATTTGGCTCCATGGGAAGAACTACTGACAAAGGGAGGTAATATTTCGACAGATGAGCTCATAAAAGTGGATCGACGAACGATGCAAAGGCAAGTGTTTGCAGGTGTTCAAGCAAGTAAGGGAGTCTAGAGTCGGGGAACTGAGAACTATGCCAACACCAACGCAACCAGCTGTGGTGGTTGGAGAATGGCTTTTAATTCGCAGCCATCGGCAACCGGACATCGACGGCGCCGTATACGATTGCATTTAACATTCAGAAGTGTAGCAAACACCTATCCATAATGATGAGTGTGCGCGCGAGGGGGGACTTGTTGGCCAGCTTGCTTAAGGGTTCGAACGGGTTTTGATTAAAGAAAGTGGTGTGCAGCGGTCACTTATGTGTCTAAGATAGTCATATTTGGGGGTTTAATAAGTGTGACGGGAAAGTTTCAGAGAGAATAATGAAGAATGATAGAAGGCGTCAGCAGTCAACTGCTGTCGTTAGACCATACTATAGCGAATAAAGCCACCCGGATGCCATCACGCAACGCCTGATGTGGCAGGAAGGCATATTTATTCGTGAGACGCATATGCATATGTGGGCTTAGATACTGTTGGGGCGCCAAATTTTAGACAGGTGGACAGTTCAGGTATTTAACTAAACCCTGTCGCTCAAAGACCCAATCGCAAATTAGCGGTTGTTGAAGTGATACTGTCAGGACAATCCAACTTTTAAGGAACGGTTTGCCATACTTGTTTGAGACCCAACTTGGAGGGCCAAGAGACCGTTTGTAATTAACCAAATGGCCAATCCGGTAGGAGACTCTGTGGACGCCGTGTTGAGATCCTCCAACATACTGCAATAGGATGTCGAGACACCAAACCGTTGCACCGCAAGATTCAGTCTCTTCCACGGTACTGCAAAAAGCTCCAGATAGCCCAGTCGTTAAGGTGCAGACTTATTGATGGGGAGGTCCGTGGCCCGAACCCAACCCTGGCACCTCGACCGCTCCAGTCTAGTTTGGGGGACCTGACAGTATCTCAGCCCTCATGTTTCCATCGGGTGGAATGACAGCTAGGCACAAAAAAGATGTTACAGCCGAACAACATTATGCAAAAACAAGGAAGTTTGGGAATTGCGGAAACGAAGTTAGACCTGACGCTCCTGTGTAATTGACTTGCACCGGGAGTGTACCCGAACAATCGCAGTCGCCTCACAATATTCCTCTGCTCATTCACGGTTAACTCTGTTTACAATACATTTAAGGGAATGAATGAATGGTTGTGTTGAATAAGAGCAATTTACCGTCGTACAATATAATAATAATGGTTGTTCGTTTCGGTCTAGCAGCCACGTCACGAGGGCTGAGATACTGTTGGGTTTCCCGTGCCTTGACAAGAGCAGTCGAAATGCGGAGGTTGGATTCGAACCCCGAACCTTTCGGTCAGCTAATTCGCACTTTAATCTCGAAGCCACCTCGAGCTGTCATACAAACACTTAATCGAGCAATGATCACTCGCAACAGTTAACCCAGAACATGTCTGCTCAATAGTTGTAGCCAGAAAGCAGGCAATGAATCACTTAAACGTACCACTCACACATTTTTCAGTCAACCCTAAAATGCAGCTGAAGATGTCTGACAGTGATGGTGATGCAGACTCAGTTGGTCAAAAGCTTCGTTAAAAAAACGGATTCACTGAACAGAAGTGAAAAATCAAACAAGGACGCAGCCTTGGTGAATTCTTCTTGTACTAGAAGGATAACCGAACATGCTTTCATCAAGTAGTTGTGTATTCTGTACTCATGAAAAGCTAGCATCTTTAATGTATGAAAATCGAGGATAATGGGCGTAAACCACAGTGACAAAAAGCAGGCTTACCTTCAACCACACGGCAGCCAGTTCCAAGATAACAGGCAACCCAATACAAAGAGCTAAAGAAGACAACTTGACCAGGAAACGCACACGATCATCTGGCACGTCCCTCTCAAACGGGAATATCTCGTAAAACAGTCTTGCTTTCGAGTCATCATTACAAGGAAAGTAAGTCGCAAACGTATTGAGTAGTTCAAGCTCTTCCAAAGGAGTAGGTTTCTAACAAATTGAGGATCGAACAGATATGAAATACCTTGTCACTAGCAGGAAATATATCCGAGAAGTCCAACCTGAGCACGAATTCCGGCTTGTGCTCCTCTCGCAAACTGGATTCTAGTGCTCTCAGATTCGAGCGACAGCGATCCAAAATGGACATTTGTTAGATGCAATACATTGTGATGCACTTTGTCAGGGTACTTCTGAGTAGAGGGACTGAAAACTGAGCAAGATTCCGTCGTTCCTTACATAAATTTGAATATTTCGTTCATATTTCTGAAATGAGAACACTTGTTACAATAGTGGAGGCAGTCTGAAAGCAAATCGGATGAATCATTACTCCATGGAGCTCTGGGATGATTGCATCCTTAGCCCCTTCGAGTTCATTCAAATCCATCTTAACAAGTCTTGAGCGTTCCTGTTCCGACCTGAATCTGCAGCCCTGTCATGGAGGTCACACTTCTGTGCTACGAACTTATTTCACGCCAGCTACACCGGCTAAAATTTAGTCCCTCAAAGTTCAACAATGTTCAACCAATAGTGAGCAGTTAGACGAAGAACAGCGAGGAACCGTATTGTAAGGCAGCCTGGAGATAATGCCGTACGGGGCTCTGCGACAGAAGTATGAAGGCAGTAAGGTGTTTCCTCGAGGCAACCAGCATATACATATTTATGGAAGCAGCGATGCTGCTTTCTGCGATGGAGGACGGGTTAGACAAGTTCGACCCTGAGAACCATACGATTTCATGGTCCGCCGGCAAATTATCCAATATGACAGATGTACATTTAAAAGAGACCACACGTCCGATGCAGCTCCAAATGCTTTTACTGAACGCAGTAGCGTCAGGATAAAAAAACATGCCTTACTTTCTGCGCGATCAAGATAGACCAGTCCTCACATTCTGTTTTACCTCACTGGTCAGACTTCGAAATCAAGAGCTTAAGATGGGGTACTTAAAACCAAATCCCATTTTCGGCCAGGGCAACCAGTAATCACCGCTTGCTCTGGCAGCTTCTTGTTTACCGGCCCCCATCTATCAAATAGTACACTGCGGTCGACCCATCTGCTAGTCCTCCAGCCATTTTTCGTGTCTGCATCGCCCAGCAAAACAAACTACAACAACCCCATACAAAACTTCGGGGACTCTCAGCGCCCGTACTACCCGTCAAATTTAGCAGCGGGAAACTTTCGTTGAAAACTTGCCTATCCTTTTTGTCGATATGCGTCGTCCCAAGACGTGCTATCGCCTCGAAGACTTGGTGGTATGCCCCCAACTCTCCCATCTTTCGGTGGTCGAAATCGTAGCAGGTGGAACCTATGTCTATGGTACAGAGTTTACAGCCGATAAACTGATTGACTGAGGCATTTAAGACACCAAACCTGTCAAGCCCCTTAGGACGAGCTCACTTTCACTGTTCAGGTATCTGGTGGTCTTGGCGAAATGTCTCGCGACATCTACGACCTCAGGATCAGGAGAATGAACTGCAAAAACCTTAAATAACTGAATTCTAGCGGGTGTGAAGCCTGAACTCCGCGACAAGTAGACATCTTCAAGTTGAGGACCAGAAGTCCCCTTAGGACGAGCTCACTTTCACTGTTCAGGTATCTGGTGGTCTTGGCGAAATGTCTCGCGACATCTACGACCTCAGGATCAGGAGAATGAACTGCAAAAACCTTAAATAACTGAATTCTAGCGGGTGTGAAGCCTGAACTCCGCGACAAGTAGACATCTTCAAGTTGAGGGGATTACCAGAAGAAGTCCAGGTAGGAGGCAAAAAGACTGCGTCGGCTACGCCAGCACCTATATGAAGATCACCTGCGGCAGCATCTAGACTGATAGTGTCAGTAGCCTTACACGCGTCGGGTGCTAAATGGCGATTCAGGTAGAGACTCGACAACGTTTAACAATCAGGCTGAACGGGTCACCAGAAATTATGCACGGAAGTAAGGAAGGAAGATGTGTGATTCTCGGCCAGTCATCAACACCATTATTGACAGGAACACATGAGGATACATACTGGTGTTTACCTGCCATAAGACCATGGGGGAAAGTTTTAGGAAAGAAAAGAGAAAAGGGGGACCTGACCGAAGACTCTCCACGTCCTTGAGGCGCCTTCAACTTCAAACAGCGTTACAATAAATAAGTCTGAGTACCATGTCGAATTAAAGAACCATCAGCACAAATAAAATCATATTAATCGGTCAGCTGTAACACTCTTTTGATGCCTAGATGCCATGCCCCCCGGAGGAAGCAGAGAGCTGGAGGAACTGCCAGGTTGCCCAAGCCGAGACAGAGAAAGTCGAGAGGCAGAGGTCGGGCTCGAACCACAGACTATTCGGTCAGTAAACTCGCACTCTAACCACTGGGTCATCGTCATCAGCGCAACTGATTCATCGTCCACTGTGGACCTCACCCGACATAAGACCCGCATACGACGAAGGCGAACTCTAGCCAGGAAGTCTAGCTACAAAATGAGGGCATGCGCGTCACTGGGATCAGCAGAATGCCACCTCCTGTCAGGTCTTTGACCACATGCAAACAGGAGCACTTGGCAACTTCTAATTCAAGTTGACAAAGCACGGCGAGGCTGTCGCCAAGTTTGGAACGGAAGACAACGCACTCTTAGTTATCCGGTTATTGAGCACCCGTTAGACTCGTATGTTCGACCTGTTACTTAACGATTTAGCAATGTAGCTGTCAACTATACGTAGTTGCCTTGTAAACACTGCCCTTTAGCTGCAAAGAAATTGACTGATGAAGCTATAAATGACGCAAATTGACAAACGCAGCCCACCCTTTCATGATGTGCGTTTTAGTTTCTGGTATAGAACAGTCGCTGCATATACCGCGGCCAAGATAAGTGAACCGAACAACAAACTCAAACTCTTCAGTCTGAAATTTTAACGAACCACAAGACGACGGGAACACTTGCAGTCGGAGTTCCAGCGAAACACATGCTGAAGAATGGGGCCGAATACGATATTCTAACGGTAGTGCTTTTGCACACAAGCACCCTTAAAAATGTATCATCTGCGAGGTCCAATCTCAATAATCTCTATCCAGACGTGACTTCCAACTTAACCGGGGCTGCCCTCAGCCTCCACGGAGGCCAAACCGCGAATGCCCAGAATATATTCTATTGGTTCCGCATACAGAACCAATAGAATAGGAACTATAGTTTTAATTGGGTCTAAAAAGCAGATTCTCAGAGGGTCCATTAGCCGCACAATGCTCTCAACTGCAAAACCTTTGTGCATGGGGTAAAACTTTTTGCGCCAGAATGTTGCATTTTGTTGTGTGTGTGCTCAAACCAGAAACCATCCCAATATGCTTTTGCAGCCCGCCAACATACACTGTCAATTTAGGCAATAATACCTCTTGCGGAAAAAGTCCAGTGGAATACCTCCCAGCATTGCTGAGACCCCGGGGTGCTTGGATAGGACGCGAAAGTTTAAGCTGGTGCTCTAAAGTCAGTCAGACCATCAGGGACACGCCGCAGCTTTCGAAAAATCAATTCCATCGTGCGAACACTGAGCGTTATTCACGGATTCTCGGATGGATACAGAGGATCTGAGGCCGCGTCCTAGAAGCACGCCCAGAATTTCTCCGAAACAATCGTTCGAAAAAGATTTTGCACTCAATGACAAATATTCGGACCCTTGAGATCCTCCCACGCGACCGCTGTTTTATTAATAGCTCTTTAAAAGAATTTGGAGTCCACTGTGTGCAAAGAATTCGTATTTTAATAGATGTCGCTTGCTTCGCGCATTGACTCTATGAAAATGGGTGAAATTTTGTGGGAAATCCGTTTGCTTTGCGCGTTTTGTTAATTGTTAGATTTGGAAATCACTTAGACAATAATCACGCGCATTACGCCCGGGCAAACTCGAATTGGGGCGGCCATTCGCGCACTGGGTATGGAAAATTCTAGGATCGCAGCAAGCGTCTCGCCGAAGCCGGGTAATTCGTCACAGCTTGAAAGTCTTTTGTTTCTTATGATGGTCAGGATTTGTTAAATCTGGCTTGGGCCAAGGTGTGATCTTCCCCGATAGACCGAGCGACTGTGGTGTTTTGTACCATTATTTCGCCCCCATTATAACGTTACGTATTTTGTTACTTGCATAACCGTTTTTCGTTTTAATACGAAAAGCCACAAAGACGCGCCTCTTGTACAATTCCACGCAATACAAACGTGGTCAATTGCCTCGACTCTTTCCTTTGATTTCGCTCGCGCTTACAGTGGTCATTCGCGAGTCTCATGTGCTAATTCTGGTAACAAAACATTTCAGACTATCTTCGGAATCTATTATATGTGGGAACTGTTCAGAAGAAGACCCCGAGACAACCGTGATTGGATTAATGTTTATTCACTGATCTTGGCCAACGACAAATAATTTTGAAGGGAACAATTATTTGCGAGTCTGTTCCACCTAACCTCTATTACGCGACCTAGCGTTATTATCTTTATTTCTTTGCCACACGCTCCTGGCGAAGCAAATTATTAGGTGGCCAGACCATACATCCCCCATAATGTCACTGGATGGTTTGTAGGCGGAATAAAATGGCCGCTACTTTCAAGTCCTACGTTATAGGCTTTTGCCCAAAGTTCACGGATCGGTTTCATTTATCTTGTTCAGCAGCTTCCGTTTACCTGAAAGGCACAAGTGAATGAAGGATGTAGCACCGCTTTTTATGTTCTCAGCGCGGGGCAGTTAGCTTGCCAGCTCGCGGACTCGCATAAACAATGGTCTAATAGTGCTTTGAACTGAGCTGTAGAAGGAGCGTGGGCAACGGTCTGAGAAAGGTAATTCCACGCAACTATTAACCAAAATGAGAAAAAGTATTCCTAATGAATGCGTGCGAAACAATCGTTCGAAAAAGATTTTGCACTCAATGACAAATATTCGGACCCTTGAGATCCTCCCACGCGACCGCTGTTTTATTAATAGCTCTTTAAAAGAATTTGGAGTCCACTGTGTGCAAAGAATTCGTATTTTAATAGATGTCGCTTGCTTCGCGCATTGACTCTATGAAAATGGGTGAAATTTTGTGGGAAATCCGTTTGCTTTGCGCGTTTTGTTAATTGTTAGATTTGGAAATCACTTAGACAATAATCACGCGCATTACGCCCGGGCAAACTCGAATTGGGGCGGCCATT